TGATGATCTTGGCCTAGCTTCATTATTTCTTTACAGGTTGCAAAGTGGAAATTTTTAATTTTGTTATTTCCTTCAATTAGTTCAAATATTTCAGTACAAAAAAAATTTTCCCTCATTAAGTATTTTGTTACCTTGAAATAAATTTTGTACAGGAAAGATACATAAATTCCTGATTCTTTTCTTTTACCTAGAATAACAAGTTATTAGAATAACAAGTTATTTCCAAAGATGATTTGTTAAAAAAAAAAAGTGTGTGTGTGTGTGTGTGTGTGTGTGTGTGTATTTTCAATATAAACTCATGGATTCTAACATGAGATGTATTCGTGTATTGAAAATAATTAATTTTTATGCTCAAATTGTTCCAGTTGTCTAATAGGAGCCACTTTGTTTCCTTAGTCATTTTGACATAACCCTGGTATTCTTTTGACAGCTTCCTTGTGTATTGGTGTGACAAGATGTCCCAGACTCACAAAAAGGTCTTTTAAAGGCAGTTTAGGGAAGCAGTATGCTCTGTCTTGAATTTTATTTTATATATTTATTTTTAAAAGATTTATTTATTTATACAAGCACTGGGGTATAGGCCAGGGGCGCAGGAGGGTGAGAGGATTCACCAGAGACAGAGTGGGGAACAGAACAGATGGACTGAAGTGCACTGCTAAGGGGAACAGTGGGTGAGTCAGGAGAGGTCTGCTGCACCACGTGGGAATCTCCCTGGCCGCTGGGAATCGAACCTGCACTGTAGGGACTGTGGACAGCTTCACAGCGCGGTGCTCAACCCACTGCGCCACCAGGGAGGCCCTCTGTCTTGAATTTTATGGTATATGAATTTTAGAAGAATTTTCTTCATATTTTAGAATTGCCATTTTATACAATATTTAAACAGAAAATCATGATGACATCTAAAATTTTTTGATAGGTGGGATAAGGAAGGAAAGCAAAGCAAACAAAAGGCATGTTGAAAGTGTTACACTTTTTTTTTTTTTTTAAATATTTATTTATTTATTTATACAAGCACTGGGTATAGCAGAAGCGCGGGAGGGTGAGAGAACTCACCAGAGCCAGAGCGGGGAACATGAACAGGCAGACTGACAAAGTACACTGCTGAGGGGAGCAGCGGGCCGGCAGGAGAGGTCTGCGGGACGAAAGTGTTACACTTACCCTGAGATGTTCCTGGTAAACTTCTGATTCCGATTCTGAGATACGGTGTATCTCTTTGAGCAAACTTCAAAAGTAAGAGTTATCACTAAGTGCTGCTTTTGCTTTCAAATTACGGTTCTCCCCTGCACACAGACATACCAGTACCTGGTTTCCTACTCTAATAAAGCATCTTTTAAGTTTTTTTCCTGTCCCCTTCGCCCCAGCCACAATACCCCACAGTGGCTTTCCAGTAAGAGCAGAAGCATTTGGATAAAGATTTGTTCTTTTCATGGGATAAGGTAATATTTTTGTTGCAATTTGTTTATGTAAAGCTAGATATTGTTGACAAAGACATAGTTTTTATTTTTATTTTTTTGAAATGTTTGAACCCTGATTTCTAATAGAGACATTGAGTAGTGGTGATCCAGGGCACTCCCTACTGCTTTCATTCACTTATTTGGTTCATTTTCCTAATATGATATTCATAACATGTTACTTTTTCTGACTATGTTTGTAGCAAAACATACTGGATTTAGAGATGGAGGTGGATTTGAGTCCCTGCATAATCACTCATTAGCTTATCACCTTTGTCAAGTTGCTGCTTGAACTTTCTAAGCCTAAGAAATAGGTTTGTAGTGAGAATTAAATGAGAATAATGCATAAGGAAAATTTGGCCTACTGACAGTTTGTCTTTGGGTTTTAATTAAAGCTCTACCATTTAATATGGGACCTTAGGCAAATTACTCTTTTATGTTCTTCATTTTTAAAATGTGTATAATATTTATGCCAGGGATATTGGAAGATTATATGGGATATATAACCAAACTAAAATACTTAATGTGGTTCTTGGCATTTTTTATGATGGTAATTAAAATTTTTGTTATACATTCAAAAAAGGGCTTGAACATGAAAGTATCTTAATAAAATGAAGCAGATTCTGAATTTTTAAAGTTCACCCGTTGATTTGGGTATTGTCAGGGCAGAATACCAGGTAATAGCAGAAAATAGTCCTTTAACCCTTTAGATTACCTGGAAATTACCTGGAGGGGGAAGAAGAATGACAGGGGAAGAAGAATGCCAACTATGTTACTGTTACTTGGAAGCTTCACTCTAAGACTGCTTCCTGTACTTGAATGATTTTATCTTCCTAAGAATTGCAAGTGCTGTTTTAAAACAAAAGTGTGTGGCCTATTGCCCTTTTCTTTTTATAGACATAATTTTTATGTCAGTTGTAATATTTTGTAGATGGGATTAGTGAATACATCTCTCCAAATGCTATATTGGATACATTGTCAAACACAGTAATTTGAACCATAATTTAAGGATTTCTTTCATGCTTAAGGATGTGGTGTTTTCTAAACAAAACTTTTCAAATCTGTTGTAAGCTCAAAGTTCTCAGGATATTATTGTGGCAATTTTTGGAAAATACACTTTGCCACAGTGATCTAAATGAAAACAAATGCTCGTCTGTTGACGAAAGTGGGGGAGACACAGAGGGAAAATGAGAGGGAGGGACTGGGAGAGAGAGCCTGCTGACTCATTAAATTTTAAAAAGCCTAGTTAAAATCTATCAAGAGAGAAACTAAACACTAGGCATGCAGGTGTGTAGCTGTGCATAACAATTCCAATTATTACTAGGCTCTTAAATAAATAACCAGAGGCAGTATTGTGTGGGTGCATAGATTTCATTTAAGCCAAAGAAAGAGGATGAAATCAACCCCCTCTGCCACAGAAACAAAAATAAAAGTTCAAGGCCAGCTTGAAGGCAGTTCTTTCAAGGAAAATAAGTGCATACGCCACCTGGTGGTGAGACAGTCACATGTGCGTTCTATTTTGTTGACTGCCATTTATTGAGTTGTTACTGGTGTATTACAGTACTGAGTGAAAGAACAATCCTTACATTTGTAAATGTATTTGCTCCAACAAACAGCTGAAGCACAAACACCAGGAGGAAAAGGAAACATAATAAAAAAAAGGAGTTGTGACCATAGGGGATCCACAGTGGAGTGTCCAGATGAGTCAAATTAGCTTCCTTTTCATTAATCCTAAATCTCCTTTGTTTTCTGTCCTATTCACTTTTTATGCACTGTCAAATTGGGTATGGAGGGTATGGGGCAGGATAAGTTAAAGAAGGAAAGGTTTACTGTGGCACTCTTTGAGTTTAGGGAGATAATTAACCAAATGACTATAGAGTGGTAATCTTTAGAACTGTGGGCTTTTGTTCTTGTCCATTATCTCCAATCCTCCAGGACCCACAGGCACTTGAGAATTTACTATAGCAAAACCACGGCAGTCAGAATCACCCATGGAATCAGATTGATGATATATTTTTCCGGTCTAATAATCTCTGCAGTCTAATCTCTCTTTGATGGTCCCAATGGGATTATGGCTACTCCACTACAATTGTAGTATTCAAATAATGGCTACTGTTGTACTTTGAAGTGCTTCCTGTGTGTACCAGGTACGGTGCTCATCACTTTACATCTCATTTAATCCACATAACTATCATTTCATCTCCAGTTTACAGAAGAAAGTGAACTTTAAGAGATGTTACATAGGGGCCTCCCCGGTGGCGCAGCGGTTGAGCGCTGGGTTGCGAAGCTGCCTGCGGCCTCTGTGGCGCCGGTTCGATCCCCGGCTGCTCCCGGCCACCGGAGGAGGATCCCACATGGCGCGCAGACCTCTCCTGCCGCCCGCTGCTCCCCTCAGCAGTGTCCTTCGGTCCTTCTGCCTGCTCTGCTCCCCGCTCTGGCTCTGGTGAATTCTCTCACCCTCCCGCGCTTCTGACTGTACCCAGTGCATGTATAAACAAAACAAACAAACAAATAAAATAAATAAATAAAGCATGCCTCTATTAAAAAAAAAAAAAAAAAAAAAAAGAGATGTTACATAAAGTGGGACCCAATGGGTCCAATATTTATTAGTGGTTTAATGTAAATATCTGTGAACTCTAGTTTTATTTTTTCAGTCTTTTAAGTTTGACAGCTGCACTCTGCACAGATTTAGCACTGGTGGCTGTTCAAAACGTGTTTTATTGGATTTTAGGAGGCCCTCAGCAGTAAAAGACCCTAATTACTGATCAAGAAAGAGGGTCATCATTTTCATGCCATCTGAGAGTATATTCTCTAGACTCCTTCCTCAGAATACCTAGGCCTGATCCTCAGTTGCACAATCCCTCCCTATCCATGCCTGCTTCATTGTAGGCCCTTTCCTTGCTTCATACTCAAGCTTTATGGTGCCACATATTCCAAGACGCAGCCTGGGAGGTTGTAAGTTTAGGAAGGGCGAGATTACCCTGCAAGTGAGTTAGCCAATCAACCAACAAAACCATCTGCCTTCAGTAGACAGGGTTAGGGTTGCCAGATATAGCTAATAAAATTACAAAACTCATTTTAATTGGAACTCAGTATGTGGCTTGTAGTAAACCAATGATTCGTTATGTAAAATTTAAATCCAGGTATCCCATATTTTACCAGGCGACCCTTATAAGGATAGCACCGTTTAAGAAGGTGATTCCACGATTTGCTCCTTGGAAGGAGGTGGCTTCGAGATCATTCCGGCCTGGGCATAAAATGCCAGGCAGTGAAGTATGTGCCTCTAGCAGCAAAGCCTCGACCAATTCATGAAGAAAGGGCAACAGCTCTCTGCTGCAACAGCGCACGGGACTTGGGCCTCTGGGAAGTTCCAAACGACCCGAAATGATTGATGATCGCTGGGTTCCTAAGAAGCCTGAGCACCAGAGCCTGGCTGCCCGGCTCCAAGATGGCGCTGCCGGCGGCTGCCAGCTTCCAAGATGGCGGCTCGGGGCCGCGCCCGCGCTCGCGGCTCTCCTCCCCCGCGTCCCTCCACCCCCAGCTCTCCTCGGACAGCCAGCGCGACTTGCGTCGCCGTGCGCCGGTTGCTCTCCCGCCCGGGTGGTGGTCCCGGCCGCCGCCCGCCCCGCGCCATGCGGCTCCTCGGCTGGTGGCAGGTTCTGCTGTGCGTGCTGGGGCCTCCCGCCGGCGGCCTGGAGGGTGAGTGCGGGCCGGGGCCGGGGGCGGCCGGCGGCCAGCGCGGAGAGACGGGCTGGGGTGGAGGTCGAGGGAGGGCCGCGACGCGCGCCCCGCTCCTCCCCGCCGGTGTCCCGGCCCCTCCACCCGACGGCCCGGCTCGAGGCCCGGGGTCTGGGGGGCCGGGGGTGGGGCCCCCCCTCAGCTGTCGTGCGCCCGCCTGGCGTGCCCTGTGTTAGCGCTGACTGAGGCAGACCCGCTTGTGGTGAGCACTTCGTTATTAAGGATGACAGTCGGAGCGAATAGCCGGGGTGCCCGGTGTCCTTTTGCGGGGCCAGGCGGGTGGTTACTGCTGTCCATCTCCCCGAGCCCGCCCGGCAGCCCCGAGGGCCTCCGTGACCGCTCAGAGTGAAGGTGCCCCGCTCCCAGGCCTCGTATTCTGGTAAATGCAGAGCCTGTCTCTCTGACTACAAAGACCAGACTGAGCGCCCCACTGGCCTCGTTCACAAGAAGGCCACTCTTGCTCAGATGCTTGCGGGAAAGATAGGAAAAGACACGGGAGACGCCCTGGGGAACCCGCTGCTTGCCAGGACTTGCTCTCAGGGGCCCTTGGGAGGAGAGGCAGCCGCCCGGGTGCATGGCTGTGTGCGTGGGCTGCAGTCTTTACTGGAGTTGCACCTTCGCCCCACTCCTCACAGTCCTATTGAAGTTCAGACTCTGTCACCTTGCTTGTCATTTCAGAACCTAGCAGGAATAGGCAGGGTTTTGAGTCTCTGGGGTGTCTTGGAAGGAGGCAGGGCAGCCAGCTTACTAAGCGCAGAGAAGCTCAGGAGTATTAACACAGCACCATTCAAAGTGCTCACTGTGTGTCAGTCGCTGTGCTTCGGGCTCTCAAGTGTCATTTCACCTAAACTTTATAAATGCTTGTGAAGTAGATGTTGTTATTGTTCCTGTTTTATAGATGAGTAATCTGAGACTCAAGAGTCAATAGTCTTGCATTGTCTACAGCCAGAAGTGGAGGAGGCACTATTCAAGCCCATGTCTGCCTGACTGTATAGTTGAACTTCGGTACCACACTTCTCTGCCTCTGCTCCTAACCACCAGCCTCAGAGAGTGGACAGCATGTCCTGGATGTCTTCTGTATCTCCCGCAGATCTTTCTCCAGCCTCTGTGACTGCCCTTAGGGACTCTCTTGCCTTCTGGGCTTCTTATGGGTTGAAATGAGGGAAAAGTGAAGTCACATCTTCGAGAAGGCTCTCCTCACTCTTTGCCAGTTCTGTGACTGCTTCTGCCTCTGGATTGGGAAGGTCTGTCACTGGCAACTTGCACCCCCTCTTTTATGACTGGCTCTGGAATTCTTTATTGTTGCTTTTGGTTTCTGAACACCCAGCTGACTCTGGTGTTTCCTCTACCTAACTCTCCTCAAGTTGCTCTCTGTTCTGGCACAATCCTGGCTGATTCAGGGGGCTTCCTTATTGCCGTCTGTGTGAGTCCACCTGGCAGGGTCACATTCATGCAAACCTGGGGGTAACATCAGCCATAGGATGTCATCGTGTCCAGGCCATGAATGGGGTTAAGATCTAGAGACCTACTCCAGCAGGGTGGCAGCAAATCCAAGACTTTTTTTCCTACATGGGACACCCCTGGAAGATTAGCAATTAGTGGTGACTGTTGTTCACATTTCAAGAAATGGGAGCCACCTCCTGGCTTCAGCAGCTCCATGCCTGTATTCCTCAAAGTCAACTAGATTCTTGCTGAGGCCCCCTCACATGCCATACACTCTGCCCTACTTTCGGGAAACATGGTGAATCATGTAGAGAAATGGGCTTGCCTTTCTATCTCATGGAGAAGGCAGCATTAAAGGACTAAAGATAACTAAGTAGATTACAAGACTGGAAAGTGTTTCAGGGAGAGTCCCAGGGCTGTATTGGATACTACAATGAGAGACCCCGCTGGCCTGAGGCTCAGGGAAGGTAGAGTGGACCTCACAGAGGTGAAGGTTAGGATGTCTGAAGGCTGGGTCAGATTAGCTAAAAGACCAGTACTTTTCTGGCAGAGAAACAGCCCTCAAGACAACTCTGAGTAGAACATGAATGATCAGGGACCAAAAATGGTGGCATCAGTTGAGATTGTGGACAGAGGCCACATCACGTAGGACTTGGTAGCCACACTATAGGATGCAGACTCTTTCATGGTATGGGGAAGCCTTCAGAAGGGTTTTTAGAAGGGGAGTGACATGATCAGATTTGCTTTAACTTTCACTTACACTTGGGTTACTGTGAGGAGCAGGGTCTGCAAGCGACATAGAGGACCAACTGGGGAGACCAGCTAATTGGCTACTGCAGTTGTCCAGGTGAGAGATGGCCGTGGCCTGGGCTGACAGATGTGAGTGGACATGGGTGAGGTGGATGGATTCAGAGTGCATTTAGCAGAGAAATTAGTAGAACTTAGTTACGGTACCTGTCCATCTCTTTGGATAGTAACCATCAGTCATAATCAGTGTTAACATCATCATTCTATATCATCACCACCACCACCACCACCACCACCAATGCTTCTGTTTATGACATGATTCCATGTGCCGCAGACCATATCTTTTCTCATTTAATTTTCATAGTGGTGCTGTGAATTTTTTTTTTAAAGATTTATTTATTTATGCACACAAGAACTGGGGCATAGGCCAGAGGTATGGGGGTGAGAATATTAACCAGAGACAGAGTGGGGAGCAGAACAGGTGGATCTACTGAAAAATACACTGCTGAGGGGAGTAGTGGGTGAGACGGGAGAGGTCTGCTGCTGGGTTAACTCCCTGGCTGGGAATGGAACTCATGCTGCAGTGGCTGGCGATAGCTTGATAGTGCTGAGACTTTAGGAGGCCCCAGTGCTGTGAATTTCTACATTTTGGTGTTTTTTCCTCCATTTTATTAGATGAGCACACGAGTATTTCCTATGAAAAGTATGGGGTGTTGCCCTTCCAATCTCGCTGATTTTGTCTTCCTCCCCACTTTTGACTCTCCTGCCACGGAAGCCATCGCAAAAAACCTGAGACTGGTAGAGAGCCTTCTGAAAAGCTAGAAGGGTGCGAGGGAGCTGACCTAGGCGAGGGCTTCCAGGTAGAGTTGGCATGTTCTCCAAATATCTTCCTTGCTTCTAATAATGCAGTCATTTCACTTTAAGTATGCCTCAAACTATAGTCAGCTTGTTTAGGTTAGGAAACAACCACTTAAAGGGTGTGTTGCCATGGGGCATTTCAGTGGCTCTCTGTGGTGGGTCATTTTTCTCTTAGTGTGGAATAATTCCTTGTTTCCTTTCTTCCCATTAAGTAAACGGAAACAGTGGTACCTGAGAACATACGCATTGTTTTGTTCTTAATCTGAACTATGTACTTAAATATCTTCCCTAGAGGGGGGAGAAACACTCCCAGACTTAAAAAATACCAGCTCTTTGTGTCACTCCAGCTCCCTTTTGATTTTTGTAGGAACAGGTATCTATTTTTACTTGAAGGTAATTAGAGAGAACCAGATTCTAATTTGTGCCCTGAATTTTTACCTTGAAATCCTTTTAGAATATTGGCATTCTCCTGTTACTTATGGGACCTAGGATGCTAAGTTCTGAGGAAGCAGAGCACTGTGAAGCTGGGACATTTGGGAGTAGGCTTGGTTCTAAACTTGGCACCCTTATTCTTCAGATGTTTAGCTGCTTTGGTGCTCACTTCCTGCTCAGTCTTATAGATGACCCAGCAAACCTGTTAATTTCTTCTCATTGTACAAGTAGTACAGACTCATCAATGAGAGACTACAGAAAAACCTCCAGTGTGATCCCACCCCCCCACCTCCCACCAAATTGGCAAAACTCCCTGCCCAAGCATCTAGCGCCTTCTTTTAGTTACAGTTACATAAGTGCTTTGCCCTTTTATGCCAAAGACCCACTTTGCTACCCAAGTCCTGAATTCTGCCCTATCTAACATACATCATCACCTTTCCTTCCTTACCCACTTTCTCTCTCTCTTTTTTTTTTAAATTAAGATTTATTTATTTATGCATACAAGAACTGGGATACAGGCCAGAAGTGTGGGAAGTGAGGATTCACCGGAGACAGAGTGGGGAACAGAACAGGCAGACTGACTGAAATACACTGCTGAGGGGAGTAGCAGGCAAGACAGGAGAGGTCTGCTGCGCCATGTGCATAGCTCCCTGGCCGTGGATCGAACTCGTGCTGCAGTGGCTGCGAACAGATTCATACGTTGCATCCTCACCCCTGCGCCACTAGGGAGGCCCCTCATTACCCACTTTCTCATCAACTTTATATAGCCTTGAATTTCTTCTATGTCCTGAAAATCAAAACAGAACCTTTCTTAGCCCCTGTCCATAGCAACCAGCCTATCTTTCTTGTCCCCTATGTAGCTAGACTTCAGAAAGAATTGTGTTTATCCATTTTGCTACCATTTCTAGTGCTTTTCCTTTTTTTGATGTGGATCCTGTTTCCAGCTGGCATTATTTTTCTTCTGCCTGAAGGAGTTTAAGAGTCTTGTGTTGTATCTGTTGGTAGTAAATTCTTTCATCTTTCTATGTCTGAAAAAATATATTGCCATTGGTTTTGAAAGATACTTTTGATGGGAATAGGAGTCCTAGATTTTTATTTTTATTTTTTCAAAAGATGTAAGAGCTGGGGTGTAGGCCAGATGTGTGTGTGTGTGTGGGGGGGGGGTGGTGGTGGTGAAAGGATTCACCGGAGACAGAATGGGAAGCAGAACAAGTGAATTGACTGAAATACACAGCTGAGGGGAACATTTGGCGAGACAGGAAAGGTCTGCTTCACCCATTGTGTGTTTCATTTTGGATAACTTCTATTGCTGTGTTTACCACTCTTTTCTTTCTGCCATTAATCCAGTGCAGTTTTCATCTCAGATAATGTTGTTTTCATTGATAGAAGTACTATTTGGACCTTTAAAATATTTTATGTCTCTGTGCTTACTTAACTTTTGAACTATGTAATGCAGTTATAATTACAGTATATGAGGATATAATTTAATATCCTCATCTAATAATTCTGACATCTGTGTAAGTTAAGGATCAGTTTCAAATGGTTGATTATTTTTGTTATGGATCATATTTTCTTGCTTCTTTTCATGTCTGTTAATCTTTGATTGGATTCCAGGAATGGATCTTACCTTGTTGAGTGCTATGTATTTTAGTATTTGTATAAATATTCCTTTTTTAAAAAAGATTTATTTATACAAGCACTGGGGTACAGTCAGAAGCGCAGGAGGGTGAGAGAATTCACCAGAGCCAGAGTGGAGAGCAGAACAGGCAGACTGACGAAGTACACTGCTGAGAGGAGCAGCGGGTGGCAGGGAAGGTCTGTGCGCTATGTGGGACACTCGCCCTGCGGCCAGGGACTGAACTGGCGCTGCAGAGGCTGTGGGCAGCTTCCCAACCCAGCGCTCAACCGCTGCGCCACCGGGGAGGCCCTGTATAAATATTCTTGAGCTTTGTTCTGGGATACATTAAGTAACTTGGACATGGTTTGACACTTGCTCCTAGGGTTTGCTAGATGGAAGCAGAGCTGAGTTACTCTAGGTTTAATTGTGTTCCACACTCAGCAAGTCCCCTTTGTGTATTCTACCCAGTGCCTCCTGAATTTTGAGGTTTTCCAGTTTAGCAAGTGGGATCCTTGCTGTAGGCAGCTCTCCCACCTGCAGTATTCTGTCCTGCAAGCTCTAGCTTCCTTGGTCCCCCTGGACTGGCCGCTCTACCTCCTCGACTTGAGTCTGCTAGGTTTCCCTTTCAAACCCTCTCAAGCAGTTAGCTAAAGCAATTGTAGGGTGCTTCTCATCTGCTTCCTGCTTCTCAGGTGTCACTGTTCTTCATTGTGTGATAGCTAGTCTTTCTGAAACTGTGATTTCATGTGTTTGTTTGCTCTTTTGGTTGTTTCAGGAAAATGGGGAAATCTGGCACCCATTGTTCCATCTTAGCTAGAGGCAGAATTCCCAGAGAATGTTTTTGAATTACTGAGTGAATCTGCTAGTCTCTGTGGAGATATTCCATGAACGCTTATGCAAACATGTGTACCTTTGGAAGCCCCCAGACCCCTCCCCAATCCTGAAGCCAGTTGGTCATTCCTACTTGGGTGACATGCTGTTGGCATGGCAGAACTCATTACCCAGCTGCTGCTCCCAGCCGTGGGCTGGGCGTGTGTGAGTGCACCTGGGCTCGCTTTCCCTGGTCGCTGCCTGGCACAATCTGGCTGCTGTTGTTGAGTTAATTAGGGTTGGAGGGTAGGAGTCATTGTTACAGAGGTGAGTGAAGATTGCAAAATGACTATATGAGGATGCCCAGGACTCTTCCCTTACCTGGAAACACTTGTACAAGTTCTACCTAGTGGTTCCAAAGTGAGAGGAAATTTCCCCTGCTTTTGTCCCCTCTGCTGTCCCAGCACATCTCCTAGCATTCCCAGAGTCCAGCTTTCAGAAACCACCTCTGGAAGGAACTGCTGTGTGAATCTAGCAGTGTTCCTCAGGCAGTACTGCCCAGCATCCCTAAAGGGTCAGGAGAGACAGAGGCCTAATTGGAATCAGTGTCCAGAAGACTTCGATTCAAGACTTGGTTCTGCTGCTTCCTAGCTGGGTGCCGTTGGGCATTGTGCAGAACCTCTCTGTGCCTCAGCTTGGTCATCTTTTAAGTGGGGTTGGTAATCTTTGTCCTTTCCATCTCACAGAGCTATTGTAACGTGTGCTCTGATGTTTTGCCATAGAATTTCTGTAAAGCCATCATTTTCTAGGGTATTTTAATCAAACAAACACAAATGTTAATGTGTTTGTGTTATACATTCCTAATTGGGTATCTGCACCGGGATGGTTTTGCTTATAATCCACATGGCAAGCAGCGGGTTTTGCATGAAGTTGTGTCTTTGCCCACTAATTTACTAGGCGTTCATTAGTACCCTTTTCCTAACGTGGATCATGGTGGGTGGCACTCTGATAGTTCTGTGGGAGGGCTAAATCTTTTCTTGGTAAGGGAAAGTTTCACACTTGAGGACTGCCATTCCCTGGGGTTCCTGTATTTTGAAGTTAGGTACGACTGTGAACTTGCTGACATGTTTTAGTTGCAGAGGAAAGCGGTCACTTGTGGTCAGAGGAGCAGTCAGCTCACCCTCTGCAGGTGGGGACTGTTTACATGCGTGAGGAGGCGCCTTCACGTGGTCCTGTGGGCCGGGACACATCTGTGGAAGAGGCTGATTCAGTGCTGGCTCTGGACACTAATGGTGACCCCATGGTGATGCTGTCAGTGATTCCTGGAGAAACTGAGGATAAGCTGAGCTCAGAGCCCAGTGGTGGCACCTGCGGGGCCGGAGGGGAGGAGGACTCGCGGTGCCACATCCGAGAGAGCCTCTTATCCCTGGACAGCGCCGGAGCTGTCTTCCCCGACAGAGAGGAGGAGTATTACACGGAGCCGGAAGCGGCGGAGTCTGACCTGGCCCCGACAGAACATGCCAATAACACCGAAAGTCTGAAATCCCCAAAGGTGACCTGTGAGGAGAGAAATGTGACGGGTTTAGAAAATTTCACTCTGAAAATTTTGAATATGTCACAGGTAAGAGTCAATTACTTAGCACTTTTCTTCTTTTTTGCACATTGATTTTATGGCTGAACACCGTCAGCTTTCTAGTGGAGGGCCATAACCTCTCTCCTGTTGTAAGGAGAACAGCATTTAGTGGCCACTTGGGTGAAAATTGCCTTCGCTGTCTGTAGTGTTTGTAGGAGAGGAGGAGTTCATAGCTAGTGCTGGTGACGTGTCTCACACAATTACATCCCATCATCCTTGGGGTAGTGTCACTGCCAAGCCTCATGATAAAAATCCCAGTGGACAGATAGGTGTTTCCCATCAGAGTCAGAGCATTTTTCTTCTTCCAAATGGAGTATTTATTACAGAGGCAACTGAAAAATATCACAATTACAAAAGCTGTCATTTATCATTGTTTCATTGTTTTTTTTTTTTAAATAGAGGCATGTTTTATTTATTTATTTGTTTGTTGGTTTGTTTGTTTATACAAACACTGGGTATAGTCAGAAGCGCGGGAGGGTGAGAGAATTCACCAGAGCCAGAGCGGGGAGCAAGCAGGCAGAAGGACCAAAGTACACTGCTGAGGGGAGCAGCGGGCGGCAGGAGAGGTCTGCGTGCCATGTGGGACCCTCCTCCGGCGGCGGGGGAGCAGCTGGGGATCGAACCAGCGTCGCAGAAGCCGCGGGCAGCTTCGCAACCCAGCGCTCAACTGCTGAGCCACCAGGGAGGCCCTGTTTCATTGTTTAAACTAGTAATGCCCCTGGGGAGTATGTTACATTGATGGAAAGTTTCTTTCCTTCAAAGAGTGTGAGCCCTGTGTTGACTCTGAAATGAGAGCTGAGATGCTGTCCCACACCCAGCTGTGCTTTTTCCATTTTCCAGCTTCTTGGATAAATGGTGATTCCAGAAAGAACGCCATGGTGATGCCTGATGCTTTCTGTAGGGTTGTTAAGCCAGGGAGCAGGATGAATTCAGCCTGCTTCTGTAGAAGAAATCCTAGCTCTGAAAGCTGTGATGCTTATTTCATATTAGAGGGCACAGCGGTACATAGGTGGGCACTTATACACACACACATTCCAAACACATGGCCAGGAGACACACTTTAAGCTGTCTGAGTCAGGGTGGTGGCAGGGATGGTGCACCTTTGAATTGAACTGTCCTTTAGCCTGATTTATTGATCTGACAGTAGACACTAGGAGCTGCTAAGATGATAGTTTGCTGAGAGCCAGTGCTTTAATACCGTGGCTCAATTGTACGAAAGGCACAGTTCAGAGGTTGCGGCAGTAGCCAATATCCTGCGAGTACTTAGTATTTGAATAGTTGAATTAAATATCAAAATGATTTGATAGTAATATTAGGAAAGCTTTATAACTTCTTCGATAGTATTTTTCTGCCAATCCACAAATTCAAAATCCAGAACCTTCCTGGGGATACTATGTAGTCTCCCACCTGTCCCCAGCCACCTCCTTTCCTAGGAGGCAACCGTGTTTCTTTTTTCTTTTTGGGTATCCTTCCAGAAGAACATGCATGTGCATTTACTACTGGCTTTAACACCTGTTTCTTTTACCACAGGACCTTATGGATTTTCTAAACCCAAATGGTAGTGACTGTACTCTCGTCCTGTTTTACACCCCTTGGTGCCGGTTTTCTGCCAATTTGGCCCCTCATTTTAACTCTCTGCCCCGGGCATTTCCAACTCTTCACTTTTTGGCATTGGATGCATCTCAGCACAGCAGGTATCTTCCTTGCTTGGGGTTTATGTCACATCTTTTGGATGATGGTTGCAGAGATTGGGAGGTCATAATTAGCTCAAGTAGAAGGAAGGGAGTGTGTGAGGGTGTGGGCAGTGTGGGCAGTCACCCTTGGGAGGGAGCCCATAGCCTTACTGTCTGGAGACTGCTCAAGAAGAAAGAGGACTGTTCTCTGTGCGGTGGGATTTAAAGGTGGCTGTGCCTGATGGCTGGGGAGGCGCAAGAGGACTTTTTAGGGGCTTGACCAGACTGAATTAGCAAAAATTAGTATCACCAGAAGGATCTTGCCTTGTGAGTCTCATCTGCACGTTGGGTTCCCACCCCTGGCAGCCTGCCTCCCAGCACCCCTGTTCTGGCCACTTCGGATTTCTTTTTTTCTTTCCTTCTTTCCCTCCTTCATCTTCCTTTCCTCTTTATATTTATTCTTGCATGCATTTATTCTTAAATGTCTTCATGACATTAATATGTTAATGAATTACGTTAGCCTTTTAAAACAATATTTACCCCTACTTTATGTATTTTTTAAAATATCCTTCCAGTGGGCTTTTTCCTTTTTCAAATGTTCAGTGAGATAAATTATTAGGAACTTTGTTCAGATGTTACATACTTCCCCCAAGTGCTGAGGCTGTGCCTGGCTTATAAACTGTGTGTTTCCCTCCTCTTCTAAATCAGAAACTTCTTAGTAGGTCATATAAGGCTATGTGTGACTAAATTTGTAATGTCTGGAAGGGGGCAAGTTGGTGGTAAAAATGAAATTGAACAGAACTTTATTAATTTGTGCCCTCCTGGTTTTCAGTGCAGACTGTGTAACTGCCTGTAGTTACCTGAAACTGTTGAGGAGGAAAGAAATGGCCCAACAAATCAGTAAATTCTCACAGTTGCTCCAGGGAAAATAGCTGAGTGGTGTGTCCCAAAGGAACAGACTAGAAGGAAGTCCAGGTCAATGCCCAGCTTTGACCACTTACAACACTGCCCCCAAGCCAGCAGGATTGCCTCCCAGCACCTGCTTAGCACTCTTTGGTTTTGGATCTGGTACTGTTTCCTGCCTTCCCATCCCCACTCATTGCCTGGATATTTTTATCATCTGCTTTCTCTTTCTTTGCTTCACTTGCTTGCATCCTTCTCAGTGTCTGGAAGGAAACATAAGTTTCCCTCATTATGGAAAATAGAAGATATTTGTTCTCATTATATGGCCTGGGACATGTATTTGACTCCTATAATATTTAAGTCATAGCACATGTGTATAGAAAAAAAAAATCCCAATTATTCAGTATTGTCCTTTTACTATGGAGAGACTGAGGCTTAAAGAGGTTAAATAATCTGCCCAAATGTTACACAGCAGGTTTAGTGGCAGAACTGAGGCTTGAACCTGAAGTGTTTTGACTCCGGACCTTATCACCACTCCTCTGCCATGTAAAGGTGAAACAGGACTGGGCAGGTTGCATTGCTTCTGAGTCTTCCCGCCCTAAATGTGAATTTCCTGGTGTGCTTGTTAGGTCATAGGTTCCCTTGCTTCAGCTCACTAATGTAATTGCTTAGGAGAAGTTGAATCTTTTATGAAGGACAGAGATGGGGATTCTAAAGAGTTTAAAGTATCTTCTGTCAAGTCAATTTACATAGTATACTTGTCTATGAATTAGAATTTTCTGGTCTGATGTGTTTTGGCAGTCAGGAACTTGAATAGTGGAATAATTGTGTCATGGGTAGTTCTACATTGTAATAGAAAGCAACTCAGCAGAACAGAAATGTTCTCAACCATGACCCATAAAGAAGGAGGTCAGAAACAACTAGAAATCTACAGTTTGAATATCAGAAACCTCCACAGGTCACCTGAAACTGATGAAAATAAAGGGTAATTCTGTGAAAAGTCCACTGTTAATTCAGACTTTCTGACTGGCTTCTTTCTCTTGTAGCCTTTCTACCAGGTTTGGCACCGTAGCTGTTCCCAACATCTTGTTATTTCAAGGAGCTAAGCCAATGGCTAGATTTAATCACACAGAGCGAACATTGGAAATGCTGAAAATCTTCATTTTTAACCAGACAGGTATGTACAAATAATACGCTGTAGAAAAGCACATTTTATTGCTGGGGCTTTATGGCTTCTGTGGATTCTGATCTGTTATTATCCTTAAATGGTGGATTCAAGGTTGGCTTTGAGATGTAAAGTGTCTTTTCTTATGAACTGCTATGAACCTGTTAAATGTCTCCCAATTACTGGCAAGCTTAACATGACTAGATAATTTTAATGATTTTTTAAAAAAAGATTTATTTATTTATTCATACAAGAACTGGGGTACAGGCCAGAGGTGTGGGGTGGAGGTGAGAGGATTCACCAGAGACAGAGCGGGGCATGGAACAGGCAGACTAAGTCAAATACACTGCTGAGGGGAGCAGCGGGCGAGACAGGAGAGGTCTGCCGCGCCATGTGGGTGTCTCCCTGGCCGGGGATTGAACTCGTGCTGCAGTGACTGCGGACAGATTCATAGGTTGCATCTTAACCCCTTGTGCTACCAGGGAGGCCCTAGATAATTTCAATTATTATAGGTATCTTTAAAACAAATACCCAGCTTTATTGAGACATAACTTGCAAACCATATACCTGTAGATATATTTTCATTTAAATATAGTATTTACACACACAAAAATGCATGAGTCATTAGGACAGGGGCAGAGTTTTCACAGAGTGAACACCTTGGGTAACCAGTGCTCAGAAAGAACATTACCAATTTCCCCTGCTGCATTGCTGCTTCTGTTTTCCCCAAGGAGAACTGCTGACCTGACTCCTAACACTGTGGACTAGTGTTACCCGTTTTTATTTTTTACTTTTTTTTGTGGGACCCTCGCCGGCGGCCCCGGGGAACGAACTGGCGCTGCAGAGGCTGCGGGCAGCCTTGCAGCCCAGTGCTCAACCGCTGAGCCACCAGGGGAGGCCCTGTTACCCGTTTTTAAATGTTGTATTAATGGAAACATGCAGTGTGGATTCTTTGTTTGGCTCATTTCACTCACCATTATGCTTGTGGTGTTCATCTGCAGAGTTGCATATACTTGTGTTTTGTTCAGTGTTGTGTATAGTGTTGTACTTATTAATCCATTTGCAGATGCTGTCGTGAATCCTGAATATTTGCCAAAACCTATGGCCTTATTTTTTACTCTGTAAAAACTGGACACTGAATATTTTTTTTTAAACATTTGTGCTTTATTTATTTATTTTAATTTATACAAGCACTGGGTACAGTCAGAAGCGCAGGAGGGTGAGAGAACCCACCAGAGCCAGAGTAGGGAGCAGAGCAGGCAGAAGGACCGAAGTACACTGCTGAGGGGAGCAGCGGGCGGCAGGAGAGGTCTGCACGCCATGCGGGACCCTCCTCCAGTGGCCCGGGAGCAGCCGGGGACCGAACCAGCACTGCAGAGGCTGCGGGCAGCTTCGCAACCCAGCGCTCAACTGTTGCGCCACCAGAGAGCCCCTCGACACTGAATATTGATGAAATGTTCTTTATTGGAGTTCATTTCTCAAAAGCTTTAATGCCTCATTTATGAGCATCCTACTTCTTCCTGAAGTATATTCACTGAAAGCAAATACAAATTACATTATACCTTCCATATATATTAAGTTGATGTAATTATTTATATGTAAAACTAAAGAACAAACAACTGAGTTATCTCAAAGGAGTGAAAGGCGTGTTTCGAAGTATATTCACTGAAAGCAAATACAAATTACATTATACCTTCCATATATATTAAGTTGATGTAATTATTTATATGTAAAACTAAAGAACAAACAACTGAGTTATCTCAAAGGAGTGAAAGGCGTGTTTCGAAGTATATTCACTGAAAGCAAATACAAATTACATTATACCTTCCATATATATTAAGTTGATGTAATTATTTATATGTAAAACTAAAGAACAAACAACTGAGTTATCTCAAAGGAGTGAAAGGCGTGTTTCCAGGTGGTGAGCCATTCCAAGTCTCCTGTGAGACTCTTGCTCGTCATTCAGATTGACAAGGAAGAGAGGGGACCATTTTGTTCAGTGCTCTAAGAAAACCTTGAACACAAATGAAATCTGGAGTCACAGGATCTTTGGTAATTACAGAACACAGTGGTGGTTATCTGAACTTAGCATTACTTACCCTGTAAAAATATTATGTAGATCTGTCAGAGTAACTTTACTAGTTATTTGTTGAACCTTGGTCTCAAAAGAGAACAAAAGACAACTCTGATAATATACTAAAAGCCTTCTGATGAGTTCACAGAAATTCTAATGTTTTAGCTTTGAATAGCTGAATGGAGTCCTGTTCCTTTGATGTGGTGGGGAGAAAGGCAAGTTACAAATTATACTGACAGGCAAGTGAAACCCATCCCAGATATACTAGCAGTGATGTTTATTTTAAGATTGCATGTCATTTTGCATACCATGCAAAATACTTAAGAAAAAACTGTGGCAGGTATGTTTTCTATCTGATTTGAAACAATTGATTTCTCTTTCAGGTATAGAAGCCAAGAAAAATGTGGTGGTGACTCAAGCTGACCAAATAGGCCCTCTTCCCAGCACTTTGATAAAAAGTGTGGACTGGTTGCTTGTATTTTCTTTATTCTTTTTAATTAGTTTTATTATGTATGCTACCATTCGAAATGAGAGTATTAGGTGGCTAATTCCAGGACAAGAGCAAGAACATGTGGAGTAGTGATGGACTGAAAGAAGTTGGAAAGAGGAATTTCATTTCAGAAATTAATGCTGCAATTTCATACATTTTCTCCAGTAAAGTGTTGTCTTCTTACAACTTCAGTTGGATTAAAAGAATCATGCATTTGTTGCACTGCTGAATATGTAAAAAAATTTATGAACTGGTGTTTTAACTAGTATTGCAATAAGCAAATGCAAAAATATTCAATGGAATTCACCATTTTTGTTTTTACTACTTGAACATCATTCTTTACTTTAAAGGAATAATCCAGTTTGAAATGTGAAGATGTATTCTGTTGGGTTAGTAAATCAAATGACAATATGCTTGCTATCTAGGCAGACACAGGACTTTTCAGATTATAGTTTTAGAAAACCCTTGATTCCTTACCTCTAAGATGGTTGCTGTTTGTTTGCAATTTCTCAGTCTATAAACAGGAATGTGCTCTGTTATTGGAGGAGTAACTAGAATTGAAGTGTCCTTTTAAAAGTAGCAATTGATGAGAAAATAAAAAAGTCAAGTATCTTGGTGTTTTTGATCTCTATTTTCACTGAAAAAATTAGAAGTGGTTTAAAAAGTTGTATCTGGATAAGGCAGATGTTAGGAGAAAGTAAATGTCACCATAACTATGCTAAAGCATAACAAATTTGTTCGTTACCAGCATGCATGAATTGAAACCTCAAATGTTCTTAGCACTGTGCTTGTTTTAGTGAGAGTTAAAGAAATATAGAAAGTCTTTTTTTTGTTTTGTTTTAACATTTTAAAAGGTTTATTAGGAAAAGAAGAAAGAAAAAGAGAGGCGCCTGGCATAGGCACAGGCGGGCAGAAGAGCTGCAGAAACAGTCCTTGCTCACTAGTTGACTGTAGTCTAGTTTAGGACACCTGTAGAAAAAACATGTAACTTATACAAAACTTTTGAAAAGCTGATTTTAAAAGACCCCTTGAATTCCGGTATACCACAGCTGACTACGTTGATACCTTACTTCTAAATTGAGTGATACCTAGTTTGAGAGTCAGCAGGTTACTTCATCGGGCACCCTAAGTTACACTGATACAGAATTTTCGATGTGCTGGCAACTAACGTGAACTTAAATGTACTCATTCTTTTTATTTTTATATTTTTTGTGGGATCCTCGTGGGTGGCCGGGGAACGAACTGGCACTGCAGAGGCTGCGGGCAGCCTCGCAGCCCAGCGCTCAACCGCTGCACCACAAGGGGAGGCCCTAAATGTACACACACAGACACACACACACACACCCCACACACCCCCCATCTTAAATGTACTCATTCTTAAACACACACACACACACTGCTAATGTACACTAGCATGTACATTAATGTACACTGCTATGTCCTCTGCGAAAAAGCTTCTAATTTTAATTTGCTTAAGTTGTTTTCTAAAAAACCAAAAAAAAAGCGAATATACTAAAAACCACTGAACTTTCTAGGGTGAATTTTATAAGTGGATTACATCTCACTTTTGCACAAAAATGCAAAAGGGGACTGAGTGAGAATAAGAAAAAAATATAAAAACACATAAAAGAAGGAATACCCATTGCTCAAAAAGAAATGCTACACAAGGACATTTCTACCCACGCGTGGCCCGGAGGGCCTGCCCGCGCCGAGCCTGTGCCCCCGAGGGGCGCGCTCTGCGCCCGGCCTTCCAGGCAGCCTCTCCCCTCCGGGCCGGGCCAGGCACTCCCGCCGACCCTGGGCAAATCTTAGGCGGGAGCCGCGGCTCGCTGCCGACGGGCCCTGAGGTAAAGGGCGCTGTCCCGCGACTACAGCGGGGAGCGGCCCCCAAGCACCCCTCTTTGCGCGCCTCTCCCGGGCCCTGCCCGCGGCAGCGACTGTTCGCCCCCGACCCGCAGGAGCCCAGCAGGGCCCGCCCGCCCGCGAGGCCGGCTCCCTGAGGGGAGAGCCCGCGCTCCAGCCCCGGCGCCAAGGACGCCCTTCGTCGCCCCGGCTGCCGCCCCCCGCACAGGCGGGAAAACCCGGCGCCGGGGCCGCGGCGGAGCGCGCGGGGGGCCTGCGGGGTCCTGCCGCGCCGCGTCCGCCCGGCCGCCAGCCGCTGGGCCGCGCGGCAGCTCCCCGGCGCCTCCCGGGGGCCTGGCCGCGCCCGAACCTGCGCGGCGGGGTCGGGCCGGGCGAGCCGCTTGGGCCGAGGCTGGGAGCCGCCCGCGGGGCGCCCGCGCGGAGCCGGCCCCGAGGGGAGGCGCGGGCGGCGCGCAGGCAGCGCGCGGGGCAGCCCTCGGCCGGCGGCCATGGCGGCGGCGCTGGGGGCGCGGGGGCCGGCGTCGCGCTTGTTCGCGGCTCTGCTGGGCCGCGGCCCGAGCCTCGCGGCCATGGTGAGTGCCGAGGAGCGGGGCGGGAGGAGGCGAGCCCCGCGGCGCCGGCGGAGGACGGGGAGGGCCCGGGCGCCCCTCAGGGGGTTCCGGCGCTCGGCTCGGACCCGGCGTGGGCGCCAGTGGCGCCGGCACCTGCCCGCCGCGCGGCGGGCCCGGGGGTGGCGGCCGCGGGCTATCCCGGTTTCCTCTCGGCGGAAATCCCGCCGTAGTCAACGGAGTTGCCAGACGAGGTCGAATTTCGCTTGTTTGTTTGAGAGTTTTATTTTTATTTATACAAGAGCTGGGGTACAGGCCAGGTGCGCGGGAGAGTGAGAGGATTCACCAGAGACAGAGTGGGGAGCAGAACAGGCAGACTGACTGAAACACACTGCCGAGGGGAGCAGCGGGGGAGCCAGGAGAGGTCTGCCGCGCCATGTGGGTATCTCGCCGGCCGGCCGGGATCGAACCGCCGCTGCAGAGGCTGCGGACAGCTTTTCAGCGCGGCGCTCAACCGCCTGTGTCACCAGGGGGACCCGAATTTCGTTTTTTAAAAAGCAGTTACAAAAAGCAGTTGTAAAAGTATGTCAAGTGTAGGGTCACTTGATGTGGCTCGAGGGCTTGGAGGTTGTGCGCTGGGCCAGAGCCGCAGGGCCCTTCTCTGTCAGGGCGAGTGCGGTCAGCGTGGTGAGCGACTGCGGAGTTAACGTGTGTTTTGGCGTTCCTTTTCTGGAGGAACTATTGATAAGTTTACTCTTTTTTTTTAAATTTTTTGATGAAAGCGATTTTTGACACTTTGGGGAATAGGGTCAGTTTTGTCTTTTTACAAATTTATTGGGGTAAATTAACTGAGGGAAAGTTTTAACATGCAGCACCACCTAGTGGGGAAATGTTGTATTGACCACAGTATTTCATTTTAAGTTACTTAGGAGCCCATTTGGGTGTTTGAAACTGTTTTTTTTAATTTTTAAAGATTTATTTGTTTATGCATACAAGAGCGGGGGTGTAGGCCAGAGGTACAGGGGTGGGGGTGAGAGGATTCACCAGAGACAGAGTGGGGAGCAGAACAGGCAGATTGACAGAAACACACTGCGGAGGGGCGAAGCGGGGCACAGCCGGAGAGGTCTGCTGCGCCATGTGGGTCACCTCCCTGGCCGGGGATCGAACTCGTGCTGCAGAGGCTGTGGATAGCTTCATAGGTTTCGTCTTAACCCCTGCGCCACCAGGGAGGCCATCCTTCGTTGCCTTTAATATGAAAACACAAGTTGAGCGCTTACTACCTCCTAAGCGTGGCTGAAGGTATACTGCTACCCAAAGTGTTGGCAATCAGATAAAGTCGTTGTGTTGGGGATGAATGAATAAACCAGTATCATTTGAGTGGCTGCCAGGTACAGGACTCAATGCTTTCACATTAAAGATCTCTTTAATTTCTGCTTTTTAAAAAAACCTCAACAGGTAGATATTGTAATATCCCCACTATAAACATAGGGGTCCTGGTACTCTGAGAGGCTAAGTGACTAGTTCTGCATCCCACTGTTGAAAGCAACACATCGATAGGCCTTGAGTCTAGTTCTGCTCTCAATCCTGTCCCTCCCTTCTTGTCCCACAGAAAAAAAATGAAGCCCACCCCAAAGGTTCTGCAGAAGTGTGTCCCCAAGGGTGCATTTCCTGTTATATAGATGAAAAGGCTCCTTTCACAGCTCTAGACCATCCCTGTTCCTAGTCAGACATCTGGGATGAGCAGAGTGCATAACATTGACCTCGATGGAGATGCGGGTGATGGAGAACAGAGCAGACAGTTCAGAGAGCATTCCAGAGGCCTGTGGCATTACCCACATTATCCACAGCATGATTAATAGTTTTCACTGCGGCTCCTGAATGTGGACACAGATATTTCCTTTTCTTTTCTGAAATACTCTGTGTTGACGTAAAAATACTTAATGTATAACAAGAATTTGAGATTATTTACTACAGTGGATCTTGATATGAAATCTTTCAGACTCATTGCAAAACTAATCAATAGTGATTTTGGTACTTAATAGAAATGGTTTCTGATAATAAGCCTTTAGATATTTTTATCTCAGGTATTTTCATTTTTCTCTTATGTTAGTTGTGGGGGGGAAGGTAACTCACCTGGCATGGAGTCTAAGAAATTGGTTCATTATCATTTTTTCCCTCTTTTTTTTAGAGTAAGTTGTGTTAAAGTAAGTTTACTTACTTTGTCCTCTGAATTACGTTAAGGATTTCTGAAGTGGGAATGAGCTGCAGTTTCAATAGTGGGGTCCAGCTCAGCCCCTAGTTGCCCTTTGATGAGAGACTTCTCACATTTCAGTCTGAATGACAGTCCCTCTCTCACCTGAGCCAGGTAACCTGCAAATACGTAAGGCAGAGGTCATTGAGTGGCGCTTGTGCTGGATGAGAACTAAGCTCTGACTTCTACTTGAGTGTCTTAGTCTTCTCTCTGGCCATGATGTTGAGAGTTCTTTCAGTTAAAAGCAAATAGCATGGCGTGTGCAGGCCTGTTAACCAACAGCACCCTGGACTTAAGATGTCATCAGCAGGGTGACTAGGAACAAGGCGGACAGTGTGCTTTTTGAACTGGGCAGTGCTTGGGCCAGAGTGTGGAGAGAGCTTGTCTTACTGGTACTCAGAAAACTCACTTTGCTAAGACAAGGGCTTTTTACCTGTAGTTCAGAGTCTGGATCCCCAGAATTATGCAAAATTTTATGTCAATGTGCAGTTGATTTTTTTTCCTTTTGGGGACTGGTTTTCATCACATCTGAAAAGGGATAGTGAACCCTGATAGTTAACACCCATGTGAATAAGCAGTGAAGACTTTTAAGGTGGTGGTATACCCAAATTGCAATAGACCAGGAATTTGTGCCCCAAATTCTAATTGTGGTCCTGCCAGGGTTTCCTTGGGTGGTTGTGTTTACCTTAGTTACCTTAGTTCCCCACATCCTGTAAAGCTGACGAATGGTAATGGCCACTTCTAAAATGTAATAAACCAGAGAAAGCAAAATATAAATTTTGAGGCATCGTGTCCAAGGTATGAGACAGCATACCTTGAAGGCAGCTTATTTGTCACGGAGCTAGCTTTGTTTTTGTCTTCCTGGAGAGAAATTTATATTTTGTGAATAATGAAACCAAAGATGGTGAGAATTTGTTGCCCTTGGGACTTTTCTACATCTGTACATAAGATAAAGAGCTGTAAGCAATTAAATCTCTACATTTTGGATATTTAATATGTTCTTTTCATAGTCAGCAGATGCTCGCTCGTTGACAGCAGAGGAGAGGAACCAAGTTATACCTGACCTTAAAGCAGCGGGATGGTCAGAATTAAGTGAGAGAGATGCTATCTACAAAGAGTTCACCTTCAAAAATTTTAATCAGGTAATTATTACATGTTCTTGTTAATGTCATGGTCTGTTTTTTTTTTTTTTTTTTTTTTTTTATAGAGGCATGTTTTATTTATTTATTTATTTGCTTGTTTATACATGCACTGGGTACAGTCAGAAGCGCGGGAGGGTGAGAGAATTCACCAGAGCGAGGAGCAGAGCAGGCAGAAGCGAAGTACACTGCTGAGGGGAGCAGCGGGCGGCAGGAGAGGTCTGCGCCATGTGGGACCCTCCTCTGGTGGCCGGGGAGCAGCCGGGGATTGAACCGGCGCTGCAGAGGCCGCGGGCAGCTTCGCAACCCAGCGCTCAACCGCTGCGCCACCGGGGAAGCCCTGTCATGGTCTGTTTTCGTCACTTTAGGTAGTACTGCTGCTCGCCTTGTCCTGTGTGGCTCCAGGATCCAAATCCTCTCTTACTTTTTTTTTTTTAAAGATTTATTTTATTTATTTATGCATACAAGAACTGGGGTGTAGGCCAGAGGTGCAGGGGTGAGAGGATTCACTAGAGACAGAGTGGGGAGCAGAAAAGGCAAATCCACTGAAATACACTGCTGAGGGAGCAGTGGGCGATACAGGAGAGGTCTGCTGCTCCCTGGTCGGGGATGGAACTTATGCTACCCTGGCTGGTAATAGCTTGCTGGCACTGAGACTTTAACCCCTGCACCACGAGGGATGTCCAAATCCTCTCTTTCTGGAGAATTCATGTATAGTTCCTTGATCCTTCTACCCTGTTGCTTCCACCCCAATGGGTGATTTTCAGCTGTAGGGGAAGGGATGATATGTGTCATTTGGAAACTTACGTTCTTCAAGTACTGCTGCTTTAATTTGGCATTTGTTAAGATATTTAGTTGAACATTAAAAAAGAGAGTGAGCTTTTTATGTTTATCAGAAAAGAAATGAGTAAAAGTTGTCCAGAAGTATTTACCCCCTACTTGACGGATTTCCCTTACCTTTTCTTGACAGTTGTCAGGTGTTCTTTCTTCCTGTAGTTGTATTCTTGTTTCTAAATTATCTCCTGAGCTTCACCTTCTCCCAAGCTGTACCTCTTCTCTGAGTGGCTCCTTTCCCCAAATCTAGTAGCCAGCCCTTGGAGCTTTGCTTAAAAGCCAACCTCCCCCTAAAGACTCCGTCTTAGCCAAGGTAACTGTTACATTAGGCCCCACCCTGTTTATAGAGTCATCTCCCATGACTTACCTTTCACATCTTACTCGGTTGCATTTATGTCAGGTCAATGCTTTTGTCTATTTCTTGTTTGTTCAGTTAGTTTGGTAATCCTCTGGACAGATACATTGGTTTTATTTATTTAGGTGTCAGCTTGAGAAGTCACAGACCATATTTGCTTAAATAACTCTATTGTACCTAACACTGTTCTGGATAAAAACAGGCACTTGATAAATGCAGACATTGATTACAGTATATGTAAGTTTCTGCATGGGCATATGAAGGCCAGATTTCTACATGTTTCTACGTATTTCTTGAGTAAATGCCATTGGCTCCACTGAGCTGTAGTGCCCTATTTTTCTCTTTATTCATCTGGCTGCCAGCCTTCTTCTGTGTCTCCAACTCCTAAAGGAACCCAGATCAAGCCGACTCTTGGTCCTATTGCCCCACATGCTGGACAGCTCTTGTCAGGGGCTTAGCACTCTGTGGCTGGTGGCAAGGAATCCCATTGGTACAGTAAGCTTGTGCATAAACTCTAGGTAGCATTTTCCAAGCTTATTAAAATTCTTACATGTGTATAGCCTGACTTCTTTAAGCTAGGGCTAATTTATTGGACTTGAACATGTGGCTTAAAGTACTTGAGTCATGTTGCCTCAGGCTCTGAATCGGTCGTTCAACTCCTTGCTGACCTTGTGCTCCAGGTAACTTTGGAAATGGAAGGGGAGGAAGGTATAGTGCATCCATGATTAATCATGACATTATTCACTGGCATTCACTAGACAGCCCTAGCACCTCCAATGTTTAGGGGAACGAGACAGATGACAAGAAAATCAACTGGTATCAGGAAACGTGTTCAGAGGCCCAACACCGATGTTGTGTCCTGGGTTCAGGTTCCAGCCAGGCTCCTATGACTTCCGCCTGCACAATGGCCTGTAATGGCAAGTGATGTCATGGCAGCTATTATTGCCCACAGCCCAAGACCCCAGCAACACACCAGTGCTTGAACACCTTGGTCTTGTTGCCTATTGTGGAACACTGTGGGAACTGTGTCAGACGTCAGTGGTTGAAAAAACAATGATAGATACCACAGGATATGGGTTTGCGTTAATGATTTTAGAGCGTTTTCAAGGAATCAGGACTTTGCTCTGGGCTGCTGGCTATCAGAATATGTATAATTCTGTGATTTAGTTTTTTAACACATCTTACCTATAGGGAAAATAGGCTAAAACAGGCCAAAGCTGGAATTGGTAAAAAAACAGTAGTCACTGAGCTGGGTGAGGGATGTGTTTGGCTTTTTTTTTTTTTTCCCAAATTTATTTTTATTTACTTATGCATTCAAGAACTGGGGTTTAGGCCAGAGGTGCGGAGGGTGAAAGAATTCACCAGTGACAGAGTGGGGAGCAGAACAGACAGGTCCACTGAAATACACTGCTGAGGTCTGCTGTGTCACGTGGGTCATCTCCCTGGCCAGGGATTGAACTCGTGCTGCGGTGGCTATGGTGGATTGCTTCGTAGTGCTGAGACTTAACCCCATGCGCCACCAGGGAGGCCCTGGTTGGCATTTTGTGGCTTAGACTATGTTTGTATTTTGTCTCTGTTTAGATGTCATTACTGAGTGGTCTTGTTTTTTGTCTTAATCTATCATGGTCACAGAGTGACCTTGTCTGATGTCATTTCTGTTGAATGCCAAGACCTCTTTGATGGCCCCAGGCCTGCCCCCAGGTGTCAGGGGCTGTTTTTCTCTTTCACACAATTGATGTTAGAATTGATGTTAGAATGATGACCCTCTGGTGTTGATAGAGTTCACTTGCCTTTTTTGTTTAGGATTGAAAAGGTACTGTTTGTTTATTATAAAACAATAATATTAAACATTGAAATAGGATGACGTAAGAAATTTTTTCATCGCAACTACTTTTATCTTTTTTTCCTATTCTGTTGTGTCTTTTCTCCATAGATTTATATCTCCACAGATACAGATACGTTTATTCAATGTGATGATTGTATGTGTGGTATTATTTAAAAAAAAAAATCAGTTTAATTTTTTTGTGACAACTCAGTAGATACCTAATAAGGCATCTTCCTGTGCCAAGCACTGTTCTGGGCTCATCTAGCTCCCATTCTAGACGATAAGCAGATGAATATATAATATATGTGTTTGCTAAATGAATAGATAACAGGATTTCAGGTGCTGTTAAGTGCCATGCAGAAGAAAAAGGTAGTTTCCTGAGGGGTGGAGGGGTCAGGGTACTCCTTAAGTGGAGTGGAATGAGCAGGCTTCTCTGGGGAGTGGACACCTGCAGCGTGCACGTTGTGAAGGAGCACAACAGGGGAAGGCCCAAAGGAAGAGCATGTCAGATGGGGAGGATAACAAGTACAAAATTCCTGAAGCAGGAATGATCTTGGCATGATTGAGGGAGAGCCAGAAGGCCCGTGGACAGAGAAAGGAGGAGAGACTAGTGGGAGATGAAATTTAAGAAAGAGAGGCCAGAACTGGAGCCTTGTCTGCATGGTAAGGAGTTTGGATTTTATTCTGTTGAAGGATTTCAGTCACAAATTGCCATGACTTGGTTGTTCTCAAGCGAGTACCCTGACTGTTCCCCAGGGACTAGATGGTAGGTGGGCAGGTGTGGAAGCAGGCGGATGCGCAGGATGCCGTGGGAGTAGGCTGGGGGAGAGATGTGGACTATGGAGGTGGCAGTGGGGTGGAGAGCAATGTAGACTTCCTCATATGCCTTCAAGATGAAACAGTCAGAGCTTGCTGGTAGATTGGGTGTGGGGAGGGGAAGGTCAAGGATGATACTTTGGTTCTGGCTGTAGGGCAGAGGGTGGTACCATTGGTGTCGTCTGCACTGGGGTAGAGGTGGGAAGCTGGGTAGGGAAATGAGAATCTTGCTTTGGCTTTGTTGGCTTTGAGGTACTTATTAGTCACCCGTGTGGTGATATCAGGTAGCAGTAGACACAAAAGTTCAGAGCTCAAGCTGGGGAAGTAGTTTTGAGAGTTGTCACAGCAGGTAATTGTGAGCAGAGTCCTGGACTGGCAAGAGAGCCCAGGGAGGAATGGGCTGGTGGAGGGGCAGGCCTGGTATATTCTCCATGACAGCGAGAAGGCAGAGAATGTAGGTATAGATGTAGGTAGGTTGCCCCATTTGTCCTGGGAAGAAGTGCTTGTTTCTCTTCCAGTTGTTTTTTTTTTTTTTTTTTAAAGATTTATTTATTTGTACAAGAACCGGGGTACAGGCCAGATGTGTGGGAGGGTGAGAGGATTCACCAGAGACAGAGCAGGGAGCAGAACAGGCAGACTGATGAAATACACTGCTGAGGAGAGCAGTGACAAGACAGGAGAGGGCTGCCACACCATGTGGGACCCTTGCCGGCTGGCCGGGATTGAACTGGCACTGCAGAGGCTGATAGTGTCACAGCGTGGCGCTCAACTGCCTGCACCACCAGGGGAGGCCCTCTTCCACTTGTTTCTGTATTTTCAGTTAGGTCATCAATTGACAATGAGCTGGGGTGGGAGGAAGGAGCGCTGGAGATCGGGGGTGATAGGAGAAGGAGTGGAAGAGTCATCTTGAAACTAACTGGGAAACTGGTGGGTTGCTGTGTGGTCCTCAGTGTCCCCACAGAGATTTGTGGTCAGATATTTAAAGTGAAGAATTTGTAGTTTGTCCAGCTGAGTTAAGCTGCTTGGGCATGGCCTACGTGTAGAGTTGGGCTTAACAAGGGTTGAACTTTTGCCAAATGAGTGTGATGTCAGAACAGAGGGGTGAGGGAAATATGGGTGTCTGCAAGGATCAGTTTATAGCTGGAATGTAGATGGAGTCCAGCCTGGTGAGGA